CCAAGAACGCATGTTCTTGAAGCCGATCCAAGAGCAAAATGTTCTTGGGGGTGTTACAGCTGTCCTTAGCACCACAGTATTTTTTTTTCAGTGTACAAAAATAGATAGGGCCATCACTAACAGGTTGCATCACCAAAAGTTTCCTGGTTTAGTTGGGTCAATCTAGAGACCACAAGGGGGGTAATCGGCCCCCTTCCCCTTAATCCGTGTCTGACTGGATTGGATTTCGATGGTCACACAGATTCGGCGACAAGTGCATTCACTGATAAACTAAGTGTTCAACTACTCAACATTTGTAAGTGTGCAACTGCAAGTTGAATACTTGCAAGTGTGCAACTCCGTAGTCGTACACTTGCAAGTGTTAAACTCGGTAGGTGTGCACTTGCAACTGTGCAACTACTCGGTTGAACACTTCCTAAGATCGGACGCTTACTGTGTAGAAAGTGCTCAACCGAGGAGTTGCACACCTGCAAGTGGACGCCTACCGAGTTGCACACTTGCAAGTATTCAACTTGCAGTTGCACACTTGCAAGTATTTAACTTACAGTTGCACACTTGGAAGTGTTGAGCAGTTGAACACTTAGTTTATCAGTGTTGTGGTCTGAATAGAGTGTGAGACCTGTGACAATAACAACCCACTCGAATGCGAGATTCCTGACCTCAACCGATTCGTCAGCTATCAGACGCAAGCATGAAAGTGTCGACTACTGGTGTACTATCGACTACCAGGCCCCTTACCCTAACTGTACTTGCCTTGGAAGGAGCGTTCGTAGGTCCAGTTCTCCCTGGCCGGCCAGCGGTAGGCCACGTCGTTGAAGCGGTAGAATAGGTCCTCCGGGAGGTGGCCGGCGGCGCGCAGGTCCGAGTAGACGCCTCCGGGCACCCGGCCGGCCGCCTGCAGCCCTGAAAACACCGAGCCGGCGATATTTCGAGAGTGTCGATACATCGATACATTTCCCCAACACCATTTCCCACCCGCTTAATGCAGCTTAGTGGCAGGTTTTTTAAGCAACCCCGGAAGAGAGCTTCCAAAGGGGCCCAGACAATATCACACATCTGCGAACTGAACTTTCCTACTGAAACGAACAGTCAGCCAGACAGGGATACAGACAAGCAGACGACAGACGAACATATTCCAGTTAGTTTGAAAATCGTTTTCAATACATGAAGGGGCGAGGTTCACGGACTCCAAGCTCGAGACGTGCTGCTCACCTCTCGCCTTGTTCGTCAACGTCCAGATGCCGTCCAGGGCGTGCTGGTGCAGCCTGCCGCCGCTGGTCCCGGACGCCGAGGCCGCCGACGGCGGCAGCGCCAGGACGACGACGACGATCACTGCGGCGGCGGCCAGCGGCACCAGGTCCATGATGCAGCGCGCGCCCATCCTGACCTTGACGGCAGCGGTCACTGACTGAGCGGGGTCGAGCGGGAGCGCGGCGGCCCAGTGCATCACTGCGTGCCGGAGAGAGAGAGAGAGAGAGAGAGAGAGAGAGAGAGAGAGAGAGAGAAGTGAAGAGAAAGGACCCGCGCCGGCTGTGCGGCGGGGCAGTAGTGTCGAGCGGCCTGCAGTATCGCTCGCAGGAGGGCGTGCCCGATAAGCGATCGGCGAGCCGCAGAAGCAGCGGAGGAACGGCAGCCCCGTCGGCAGCTATGAAGAATAAACAAGCTCGGTGGAGCCCGGCCCAGGTCGCGACCTCGGCCCTCCTTCTTGGCGACGAGCCGTGACCTCTCTCTCTCTTTCACTCTGGCCGAGCACGAGGTTGCCGTCAGCGAAATTGGAAAGCCTCTCTGTCTCTATCACTCTTCCTCTCTCTCTCCCTCTCTCTATGCCTCTCTCTCTTTCGTCTCTCTCGCTCTCTTGCTCTCTCTCCCTCTCTCTCAGGCCCCGGGAGTTTCCATGCACTCTAAGGTCCCCTCGTTACGTCTCACCATCCCATTCTTTTTTTTGTGGGTGTGGTATGGTTTTAACGGATGGCGGAGGGAATTTTTTGCTAGCCGCGGGGGGTGGGGGTGGCTCACTCGCATTAGCTCTATTAAGTTGGTTCCCTGCCCCCTCAAAACCGAAGGTGTTTCATTATTATCGCAACCTTTCTCTGGAAGCAAGATATTTTTGAGCGAAATTTGGAGTAAACGAATGACCGACGATGCGGAGGAGCGAACTGCCCCAAGGTGTAATTACACCTTGCCCTATGCCTTCCCTGCCCTGCCCTTGCGTTGCTGAGTGCCGTGCCCTGCACTGCCCTGCCCAGCCGTGTGTCTTGCCCTGTCCTGCCCTATGCCCTGCCTCGCCGACTGCCGTGCCCTGCCTTACCCCGCCTTGCCGCGTCCTCCAGCTTTTGTAATTTAATTTATCTCCTGGAGTGATGGGGTTTGGGGACGCGGCGCCAACGAGTCGTGCAGACAGCGAGGGTCTGTCGGCGGTGGATGTGACATTGTGTGTGTGAGAGGGATGCGAAGTTTTGTGACATGTGTTTTATTTAGTAGTTCGCAAACTCCTACTAACGGTGTATCACGAAAAAGCAACCCGACCCCGCCCATGTCTCGCCTAGACGAACC